GGTTGAGAAATAGTTACCCTAACCCCTAACTATAGCCTCTAATCCTAAGCCCTAACCCTTAATCCCAGCAGTGTTGTGTCCATCAGGTGAGGCAACCAAACCACATCTTATCGTTAATCCCTATAAGATGACAGCTACGACTGGACATATTCATATGCCATAAGCAGCACAAATGCCTCAACGCCGACAATGTGGCGATCATTAAAGACGATGTCTACAGTGTGCCCCACAGCATAATGGGCGCAGGGACGGTGACTTTTACGTAAGTGAGTTTATAGTGATAGCTGACTGTCTGCCCTGAGCCACCTGAGACCGGTGACAAGACAGAGTCAATAAGACTGGATGCGGAATCAGCCGTAGTAACTGGAAAAGCTAAACAGACAACCTGTGTGTGCCACACACGCCTGTTCCGCGCAATATGGCCAAGTTTTTCACCAAAACGACGAAGACGTAGGCGGCTCGAACCCCAACTGAGTGGGAGTGCCACAGAGGCCATATTAAGAAGGAGCCATTGCAGTCGAGAGGGCCGAGTAACCTCATCAGTTGGCAGCCTTCCTAGTCACGGCCATGAGCTAACTATGATAGTTTAGATGCACGTCTGATCGTTTTATTGGCGAATATGCGGTGAGTGCTGTGGGGACGGGATGCCCAGAGTCGGCCTCTCTTTCTTCCTTCTCCCAGGTGCCTATCCACTGAGCCGGCTAGCCATCTGATGCAGGGACTGGGTGCAGATGGTTGGCGCGGCGTAAGCCTGGCCTTGGCGTGTCCCCACCACCCATGTGTGGCATTTGTTATGGGTGCACAGCCCAATAGCGTCCCTCTTAATTACAAGTAACATGGTGGTGCCTGCGGAGTGGGAGAAGAGTGATATAAACTCTCAGCCCATTTCCGGTTCGAATAATGACCGTAATATTAACCAGTTACAAGTTCCATTATTAACAAATTTATCCTTTGCGTTACCAATGACTAACTGGAGTACCGGTTTGAAGGCAATATCTCGTGTCTAAGATATTATTCTTGATAACGGCGAAGCTTAGGATTTTCAGGTCAGGAAATCGACCTTTAGATGAGGCAACACACGAACAAGCGAAGAAGGACAACAGGACATGTGTTTATCTCCTTTGTTGGTTATACTGTGCCAGGAGTGAAAAGACGACTCCTTAACAGGAAAGATTACGTTGCATCTATGAACATGAATGGACGCCCCCAAGTAAAACAATGGTGGCCGTGGTAATGAAACCTCAAAGTCGGCAACGCTGTTGCGTCGCGTCTAAGAGCGTATAAATCCTGTTGTTGGGCGACTGTCTGAATGAAATGTCTCGAGTCAGCCAAGTAACGAACATGTGCGTGACATGCACAGGCGGGGCGGATGTTCGGTCAATCACAATGCCCATGTTCATCTCCACTCGTATTGTTTTGGACTTGTTCTTGGACCAGGTTGCGAGCGCGAAATATACTATAATATTTTGAGGTTCCACGTGATTATCCCCAGCACTAATGCTTTTGTAAAGGGGGGTCTACAGAGAGCTTGCGCTAGCATTCATAGTCTGCGGCCAGCTAGCGGTAGATTCTAGCGTTAGAAGATACTGGCAAAAAGCCCAGACACGCGTGGTTCGCGGATATTCTGCCGTTGCATGGCACAGCTGTGAGGGGTCCGGCTCATCAGTGGGTGCCCCAGCATCCTCCGCGTGCTTTCTGGTAGATATTCCAGTTTAGAAATTGTTGCTTTCTAATCTCCTCAGAACACAACTGCTAACTTGGAGCAAATCAATTTATACCGAGGCCTACAGGCGCAGACGGAAATTTGATGCACGAATATTTGGGCCGAAGTCCATCAGCCACAGCGGGATAACCGCGTAATATTCATTAACTGCCGACAGGCAGCTGCCTGGTAGTTACTTGTATTTTGCAAAATACCCGAATGCGCTTGGTCTCACTTAATCAGGTGCAAGTAGCTTGATGGTTAGGCCTCCGCTGGTAAGAACCCCGATTGTATTTTGGACGGAGGCTTCAGATCGTATTGATGGTCAATCGCAAGAACGCACAGCTTAAAGTAGTCGAAAAATGCAAATTGTGCGATTATCCCGCGAGATAGGAGTCCTGAAGGTTTTTGGCGACTGTATGAGAACCTTACGTCTCGGAGACTATACGCATTGAATGTGGCCTAAAACGTCTGGTTCTCTAGAAACAACCTGTGTGTTAACAAACTGATTACCACGGTTAGCATCGAACAAAAAACCAATTTTCGAGTCTGGCAAGCTCTCTATAGCAACACTCGAGAGCAAATTACTCTCCTCTCATAGAAAAACGCGCTCAGATGTGCAACCGAAGTCTAGGATAGGTATTGGCATAGGAAATTGCCGAAATATATCTCAAAATCCATTTTCGCCCAAACTTATGGACATTTTCCTTGACGAAATTACGTGGACAAATGTTCTGCACAAGGACATTTCCTTGAAGAGGCTGACGAGCGAGCAAAGTGCCCAACGTCCAAGACGGCCGAAAAAAGTCATATCAGCTTCGGTCATCAGGTTTCATGGGACAGGTCACGTACTGCATATTTAACCGACGATGGCATGAGGGGTCATTATAGTTTCGGTGGAGACGCCTTCCCATCCCTCCGCTGGAGAATCATAAAAAAGGGTAAAGTTTAAAAGAAGACGAAGGTACGATCAATGGGACGGTAGATTTATTGGCCTGAGCTTTCGAACTCGAACTGGAGTTCAGCATCAGAGACTGCTAGAGTGCAGCAACGTGTGGACATTTATATCGTTGTTCCGTGCGGGGGGAACTACGTCCGTGGCTAGGTCTGGTTTGTGCCGCCTGTTCCACGATGGTCCCCCGGCGTGGTGACGTCGTTTGAACTTCGCGACGATGTGAGCTTCGCCACCTGGTTGCGTGGGCGAGACAACACGCAGGAAAATCGATGCGCCTATTGATAGAGTTAGTGTCCGACACCCACGCCGGCAGCAAGACGGGGCGAGAACTGTTGGAGGCGTGGGTGTCAGACACCAACTCTATCAATAGGCACATCGATCTGCCCGTGTGTTATCACGCGCTCCGCCCACGCAGCCAGGTGGCGCAGCTCACATCATCGCGAAGTACGAACGGCGCCACCAAGCCGGGAGACCATCGTGGAACAGGCGGCACAAACCAGACCTAGCCACGGACGTAGTTCCCCCCGCACGGAACAACGATATAAATGTCCACACGTTGCTGCACTCTAGCAGTCTCTGATGCTGAACTCCAGTTCGAGTTCGAAAGCTCAGGCCAATAAATCTACCGTCCCAGTGATCGTGCCTTCGTCTTCTTTTAAAGAAGAACCTGGGATGCGCATATTCTCTTCCATTCGTGAAAGGGTAGAGTGCCTAGGATGGCTACATCCGCAGCGAAAAAGTGAGAAAATTCGTTGGTTATGCCCACAGCACATGCCCTGCCTAGGGGCCGATCGGTTGGGATAAGGAAGCAGGCGCCATCACGACAGTAGTTCAAAATGGCTTCGTAGTTTGTAAAATCTGGACACCGCAAGGGGCATAAACGCCAGTCCTACGACCCGCGCTCCCTGTGGAGGCCATCTGGTTGTTCGGACGCTCAATAGTATAATTATGCAGGAGCGTAGACGATTACGGCCTGAAACTAACTGGGTTCAGTGCCAATATCTGCTTATATGACTTCCGAAATCCCTTAACTGCATCCGAGAAAGTACTATAAAATTTGAGGCTAAACATCCTTTGACTTGGGAGCGAGAACGTGCAACTAATCTTTCTAGAAACGTTTGATAAGTATGCTGATTTTCCCACAAGAGGTCAACTCTCCAGTGCGGCCAGTCGTCAAAACTCAGAAGGCATTCAAGTCCGTGCAAGTTCGGCTAAGCAGAGAGGTCGAAAGGGAGCGGAGATGGGTTGGGAAGAGCGAAGCACCTGTCAAGCCGTGGAGGGGTGGGGAGACTTCAGATGCCGGTGGGACGGCGAGTAGGGAAGAGTGCGGGTGGGACAGAGAAGTTGGCTGCAGATGCGACTTCGAGAGGGTCTGAATAAATTAGAACAGCCTCTTCGCGAGGGCATGGCCAATTATAAAGGTTTATCAGCGAAGGGGGCGGGGTGGAGCGAGCGAGAGTGGAGAGGTTCGGAGGCAGAAGGCGAAGATCAGACAGAATCACCCGCCCTCATTTCAAAACACTTCTCGTGCTAGTTCCTCCGCTGCCTGGGGAGGGTCGGAACAGTAACAACGACAATGGAGTAGGAAGGAAGGATCATTCGCGAGCAGGGTGGAAGAGACACGTGGGAGCAATGCAGAGGAAATCTGGTTAAAACAGCAAACAGACTTTCCACTTCTTGTTTACGTGGTACGAATGGGCTAGATGGACTAATAACGGTAATTCAGAGAACTCGATTAAGTGGTGGCAATAGTAGAGAAGCGAAAATGCTGATATCACAATAGGCACATCACGACACACGATGGACTAGACAAAAGGACCGGCGCACACGAAAACGAACCCAGGTAGGAGCAACGGAAGAGAGGGCAGTGATATTTGTGAAAAACACTGCAAGTTCATCTCTCATTTGCATTTTCAAGATGTTCAGCTAGGCGACAAAGCATTAGATAGTAGTCATAACAGTCATAATAGCAAGTTATAAGACAAGCTGAAGTCTATAAAAGCAAATACAGGTACAGTGCTCGGAGGTATGTTAGTGATAACTAACGTCAAGGGAGCGAAGACAGGTGTGGAAACAGAGACAGCAAATAACTTCCGAAAAAGGAACGGCTAAAGTGGATGGAGACGTGGCAAGGTACACGCACAGCTGCGAAGTCTCACCAAGATACACCCGTGCAACCAAAATTTGGTTGGGTGCTGTGCATGTGTGTGTGTGTGTATATATAAGTCTAGAAATAAATACAAAGTCTCAGTAGAAACCAAGTCCAACCAGTAGTTGATTTAAAAAAGAGACGACGAGGAAGGCGATAGAGAAGAGAGTGGGCGGGGTTGGAATGGGGCTGACAAGCAAGTAAAGGAACACGTACATATCACCCAGCTATGAACTTCGTTACGTCTGTAGGTGGGGTACGAAGAGGGGCGGGTGGTGAGGAAATCAGTACGCTTTGTAATGGGCAGTTTTCCGATAGCTGCAGAAGTTAAGGCATCTAGTTAGGCATAATAGGAGAGGGAGAGGTGAAACACAAATTCGTCAAACATAACTGACACCTGCGAAATCAGATGCGGACAATCAGCGATATGTTCACAAGCCCCAAAATAATACAGGAGTGTCTATATCGCGGCACGATTACCAGATCTGAAACGGGCTTGGAGGCAGAAGAGCAGGAGCGGGGTGGTGGCGTTTATACGCTTGCCTTGGAGTGCGCGCAGGTGTAGAAGTCGTAGCAACACTATCTGTTGGCCTGGTGCGTAATGGTGTCCATTTCGTGTGCTGACTGCTCCATGCTGTTATCCGCGTCAGCGTAGTCAAGCGATGCGCTCTGACGATGCTTGAGGGCGATTGCGCTCAGGCTTCTGCGCTGATCCCGATCGTAGCGAGAGTCCAGACCCATGCGGAAGGCGTTGACGACTTTAAGCTAAGACCCAAAAAGTCAGCAGAAGATTGAGAGAATTAACTAGACAGCGAGGTAAGGGCAATAAAAAAAGGAATTATGACAGTTCACAAAGAGAGAGAGAGAGAGTAAATGTTAACATGGACAAAAAAGTGGAAACGGGGGTTAGGACAGTCATTGTGAGTGGATGGCAAGGCGATTATTAGAGTAAACGAAGTCTCGTATAATTTTGCGCTAGCATGAAGGTACCCCAACCCAAACTACCTCACGAGGACTGCAACTAACCAGAACGTTAGCACACATACTTAGTTCACATTAACTAGACACTGAAATGGCAGTGTTTGGGGGCAAAACCTTGCCATTGGCTAGATTACAAATAGGAGAACAGGGCGACAGTCCGAAAGTCAATACACACTTTACGAGGACGTGGCACGCATTATACCCGGTGGCAGTGAATGTGCCCGGTGACACAGTTATCCGCGCACATATACTGACTGGAACACGGAACTTTTGTTCATCCCATGTGGAGAGACAGAAGGCCAAAAGAAAGTCTACAGACAGACGCTAAATGCGTTCGAGTTTCAAGCATTTATCATTACGAAAAAAAATCAGGCTGTTGGAATGACGAGTGTTGCTCAACGACCTGCTCGAGGGCCAGCGCGGGACAGCGAAACAGAGACGTCTCGTCCAACCCCTAAAATCCCGTCTGATACGTAGGTCAACTTCGAAAGAACAGTGTACGAGCAGGTCAAGGGGACGCCAATGAGATTACCGCTCTTGGGCTTTATCGCAGAGGCAGGTCATCAACAAGTAGACTTTGGTCTTCGCAACCTACAGGCCACAAGGTTACACTCGATATGTCGACGATACCTTTGTCATCGTCAGACTAGAAATGGTCCAATAATCCCATGGTATCCTGAATTCTGTCTTCTTTGACATCCAATTCACAAAGGCGGCTGAAAGTAACAACCAACTACCGTTCCTGGACGTTCTTGTCCACCGAAAACCCAATAGGCACTTACGGACGATGTACAGTAAGGCCACTGATACGCGCTAAATCCAGAGCTACCACAATAAGCGCCCGTTATGGCACAAGTGCAGTTGTGAGCAAACGCTCTTAAGAAGGGCGGAAACGCACTGCAGCGAGCAGAACGACAAAAGGTCGGAGTTACGTTACCTGCGGCGTCTCTTCATGGCCAACGGGTATTCTTGCAACTTCAACGAACGTGGAAGGCAGTTTGTACTAGGTAAAAATCTAGCGCAGGCTTCCACACATCGATGGTGTTTCTGAGACGGTCTCTCGTCTCTTAAGACTGCTTGGGATCGGCATCGCGTACAGCCCAGAGTCAAAAATTCGACATCTGGTCGTGAGACCTAAGCCTCTCCTGCCACGAGGTGAAAGGCAAAATGTCATCTACCGAGCTCAGGGTAATTCATGTGAGGCTAATTACAATAGACATCGGAAAACGACTACGGACCCATGTTGGAGAATCGAGTAAGCGCATAATCCGTATTATAAAGTAACAGCATAAAACTGATCTGCGCTTAAAAATATTGTCTTGAATCTCCGAAAATGCCGCAAGAGCAAGTACTCTGGAGGCCAGAATTTTCATGCCAGACAAGGAAATCACAATCAAAATGCACCTGCGATGTTCTCCCGATGATGTACTTCAGTAGAATAGGGAGACCTATCCTTGAAATAAAACTAGCTCAGATATTGGAAATATCAAGAATTTGAAGTAAAGGAAACATAATCCGACCCGGCACCGGGTTCTAGGCCAAAAAATCTGGGTGAGCCACATCTCTCGTCAACTGGATGTACAGCGAAATATGGACTCCGCTTTGAGGTGCGTAACTAAAAGCAAGACTTCATTTTTGCTCTCACTGAGGGATATGCCGAATTCCATGTGGAAGGAGTTGGATAGGTCAAAGATATGCAAAGCTACAAGCTGGTCCGCATTGGTTTCCCTGATTCCGTTGGTTACATGGAATGTCCAAATAACCACACGGACAAAATGGTAGGTCTAACGTGATAACAACGAAATTACTGCGAATAACCTAAAAGTTTGCCATTCAGTTATTCCCAGTGGCGCCTTACGTAGTTGGGAAAAGTCCGGATAGATAATCTACCTCCTAAGCTATTGCAAATGACTCGATCATTCAGATAGGGCCCTGCTTGACTAGACAGGCTGCGTAGAACGGTGATGGAGACAGATTTATTTGTAGCGGGGTAAGAGCTAGATAATAAGCAATATCGCCATGCCAGCTCAAACTAGTCAGAAGAAGGGTAACGGAGCAAAAGTGGATGGGGGACTGTAACTAAGTGACCCACCGCACTGTGAAGCAGAAGTGGAGTCATACGGACTTCAAAATAAGCGACAATCTCTGTGTATAGCGGTGGGCCAATAAGGCAACGACAAAGCAACTAGCATGCAAAAGAGAGCGTGCGATAGTAGAGAAAAGAAACAAGCTGATAAAAGCGGATGGAAAGATAACAATTCAGGCAGATGACATGTGCATCTCACCCGGCCCCGCTTTTTTGCAATACAAAGAGTGAAACACGGAAACTGTAGGGTGCGCACAAACAAAGAAAGACAAGAAGCGCCCAACACAGAAACGCCTCTGCCAAATCCTAACAGCATACGCCGATTGACTGTCAGATCAAAAGGGTTGGGAGTACGGGCCTGACAGGGCGTAAAAGCAGATGTGAGGGGGAAAGAAGTTCTCTGAATAGTGACAGCAAAATTAAAGTGGGGAAAAGTTACCCGGTCGTCCAAAAAGGAACAACACAGAGTACTACTAACGGAGAGATGACAACCCAGATACGGTGAAATACAGAGAATGACATGTTCAGAACCTAAGATGGTGATTGAAAGATTATAACTCACCTCGGCCATAATTTGCGCCTAGTTTAACAAAAAATAAGCGGGATGCATAGGAAACAGTGACTTTGGAAGATAGTATATTTTCGAATAAAAGATGGAAAGTGAGCAGAGGCCACATTTTAATCTGAGTTTCTGTAGGACCCCGGGGAGACCATTGATAGGCCGTTGCACAACGTAGATAAATTAGTCACGTCCTTTTTATGAGCTAAAACGGGACTGATGACCCTGAAAGATGGCTAGGTCATTGGAGACTGCAAATGATTCGGCATATTAGGGGCTGGAAAATAAAGATGAGTATTGCGGGGAAACAGAAAGTCACCCCCACAAATTTTAGCAGGCTGTTGAATAAC